AACAAAGAAGAAAAAAAATAAAAAGGGAAGAAAACAAAAACAAGACAAACCAGACAGAGCAGTAAAAGAGAAGAATAGTTCGGGAACCTTTTAGAGGTTGCCCAAACCGTTCAGTGTGATTCGCTCACTGCGCCTTGATTTATGATGTGCTGGATTGTCTACGTACCCCTTGTGATGGATTGCTATGGAAAGGATTCTTACAAGCAATATATACAATTGTGTGTTGTGCCCGCTAGTCACCGAAGGACTCACACGCCTCTCCCGACAAACTGGAAAAGATCCGTGATTTTTTTTAAACAAAGCTAAAATCATGATTTAAAAAAATAAAAAATTGAGAAAAATTCATGAGATTGAAAAGGAAGTTCACAGAATTTGAAAAAGTTATCAATTTTAAAAAGGTTCATGAATTTGAAAAGGTTAGAAAAAAACATGAAGTTGATTTTTCTGTCAATTTGAAAAAAGTTCCCAAAAGTTACGAAATTGAAAAGTTCATAAATTAGAGAAAAATTTCACCAATTTTAAAAAAATGAATTTGAAAAGGTTCATCAACTGAAAAAACAAATAAAACAAATAGGAAAGGGAAAAAGAAAAATAATCCGTGAAAACCGATCCATAAAACAAGAAACGAAAAAAGGAAAAGCCTCCAAGAAGCTTCCAGGAGTTCCCCAAAACCAATCTAGGAAGCTTCCAGAAGCTTCCAAAAACTGGGACTAGCATCTCACCAAAACTGCCTTAGATGGTTTGGCCCATTGCTATCAAGGGTGTGAGTCACCTATGCTTAACGTTATAAGTAGCGCCTTAATCCTAAATAGGATGGGGCCTTGGGGTCGCTAGGAGTGTAGCCAAAAAGGATCCATCCATGGAAGCCAAAATCAACGGACACGAAGGAGCTCATGAAAGTGAACATCGGTGCTTAGGAAAACAAATCAGTGTTTCTTTAAGCACCCAGTGCTTATTTGTAGAGAGTAGATGTTTAATTAGGCGTCTCTCTTGTAAAATTAAGCACTGATGCTTAAGAAAAAACCAATTTATTTTGGTATAAGCACCTTCGTAAGCAGCTAGCGTTGTACATGACCTCAAGTCTTCTGTAGGAGCCGTGAAGAGCTATGTACAGTATGCTTGAGCTGACTACTACTCTATCTGATTCATAATACTCATTGTGGTTCAGTCAATGGAGTATTTTGCAACACGTCCAGTGATGTACAGTACCCGTGAAATTTTGGATCAGGGCGGCCATGTACCGTCGCGAACAAGACGAGCCTCGCTCAGATCTGTCTGTTCATCTCAACAGTGCACTATGACCGTACGCTCGCCGACACTGCTAATCTACCATCTGTGTCTTAAAGCACATTGCACCTGGGTTAACACATATGTCCGGCCTGGCGGCCTCTAACGAGGGCGTGCTAGCTGTGGGCTGTGGCTAGAGATGCTGCACGGCTACCAGGTGGTTGGCCATGGACATGCATGAAACCAACCTCTAGCTAGGCCTCGTGTCCTTGCCATGCTTCAACCACAAGTCATACAAGTCTCGTGCATGGGCCAATTAACTATTAGTATCTCTTAGCGGGTCCACGTAACATCACACCATACTATTATTTTTATTCTCTGTACTACGCTCACAACCTCTAACAACAAAGTTTAATGCATGCTGGGGAGCGGCAACGATCGATTGTCCTGCACTGCTCGATCAAATCACTTGTTGACCAATTTTGTGACATGCACGTTACGCACAACAGCTTGCCTCGGATATGTTGATGGCACCGATAATGTGGGCAAGCACAGAAGAGGTGATAAAATGGATGTAAATTTGCAACGTAATCGAGAAATAAAGTGATGAAGCTGGTGTAGGCACGTAGTACTAGAGTAGCTAGCTAGAGATCGACGTTGAAATGTTCACGTCATATCATGATCGCCTCCGATAACGGGTGGTGGTTGAGAAACTAATAAAGCCCACATTAATCCCACGACAAGGGGGTCAAACGCTCAACAATCACACACACACATAGGTACGCAGTACGTACCTATAAAGTATTCTCCATTGGAGAGAGAGACTTAGACCTAAAGCATGCCCATGCATACCGAAGTATGTAACATAAACCCAATCAAACATAACAATCTCTACTCCTAATGGAGCAGTTGGTAGTCTCGCTTTCAGGTTTTTTTTCGTTCCACCACTTTCGTCCGGTTTTTTCGTAGGTTAACCGTCGTAGATTTTTTTCGATGATGGTTTCTTATTCACCGGTTTATTTACCCCTCAGCTCTTTCCTTGCAAATCAGGACTTTCCAAACGTGCACGCAATCACGGATCTAAATTTACTAACTTATCCAAATCAACCGATACCTTCCATTATTGTAAATTTCTTTAGGAAACATATAATAGATTTTAAGGAAACAAATAAAAGATTTTAAAGACACATCATACTTTACTAATAATCACTAAAAATCAAATCTAAATTAATTACCTTACCTTAAATCACTCAATCACTTTAATTAGAAAACATTTTCTTTCCTAACTGCACCTTGCTTAGTGTGCACATAACAATCCGAAGTAATTAGAGTCACATGATTGAATCCATTTATTTAGAGCGACATGATTGCGTTCCGGGATGGAGGCCATGATTTCGTCGAGGTCGTTGCTGCCTCCTACACTCAGGGTGTGTCGCCGAGATCGAGGCGAGCATGAGGAGCTGTGGCCACCGCCATGGTAACCTCATCGCAGGGGATGGAGCACGCCGTCGGCCTATAGCTTGTGGAGATCAACACTTTCCAAACGTGCACGCAATCACGGATTTAAATTTACTAACTTATCCAAATCAACCGATATCTTCCATTATTGCAAATTTCTTTAGGAAACAAATAATATATTTTAAGAAAACAAATAAAAGATTTTAAAGACGCATCGTACTTTACTAACAATCACTAAAAATCAAATCTAAATTAATTAATCTTACCTTAAATCACTCAATCACTTTAATTAGAGAATATTTTCTTTCCTAACTGCACCCCGCTTAGTGTGCACATAACAATCCGAAGTAATTAGAGTCACATGATTGAATCCATTTATTTAGAGCGACATGATTGCGTTCCGGGATGGAGGCCATGATTTCGTCGAGGTCGTTGCTGCCTCCTACACTCAGGGTGTGTCGCCAAGATCGAGGCGAGCATGAGGAGTTGTGGCCACCGCCATGGTCACCCCATCGCAGGGGATGGAGCACGCCGTCGGCCTACAGCTTGTGGAGATCACTGTTGCTCTTCAGGTCGCGTGGTGACCGGATCTTGCCGATGTGTCCCTCCCCGACGACCTCCTCTTCGCCCGGTTGGCCGGCATGAATCTCGCCACTACTGCCCTCAACTTCTCTGCCTCGAGCTCGACGGTCAGCCACCATGGATCCCCCAGCTGGAGGGTCACGTGAACCAGCCGTCCTCCCATGCTGCAGTGGCGAGAAGGTGACATGGCTCTCCGTACACGAAGAGTGGAGTGTGGAGTTCGGTCAAGTACTTATATACTTGGCCTCTACTGCTGATCCATGTACATGGAGAAGAACAGACAACCGCTCATTCATGCTTCGTTCCACTCCTTTGCGCTACATTACTGGAGGTGACATTTTCCTATCTCTCTATGTTGTAACAAGCCTGTTGCCTGCATAGTTAATGGATTTTTTATTTAAATTTATCGCTGCTTAGTGCTTTGTTGCAATTGTTCACGCAAGATTCTTATATATAATCTGAGCGTATGTAGGCATACTTAGCTTTGCTATTCCATTTTTTTTGGCGCATAGAAATAAGAGTATTGTCCAGGTTAGGTATTCAATTGAGTATGGTATTTGGATTGCTATCAGAATGTCTTTTCTATGCATATGATTTCTCACATCTGGTTATAATATTTGTGAAGACATGCATTGCACGTGCACTTGGAAGCGGGCCCGTGGCCCGCGCTGGACGGTGCCGACGCCGACCCGAGCCACCTCGTCCGCGTATTCTTGGAGCTGTGGCTGGTCGATTTACATGAAATTAATTCCCTCAGTTCTGGTGGCAAATATAATACACATAATCCATATTGTTATGCACTAGCGTGTATGTGTGAAATAGATGGATTATGGTCCCGTACCCAATAAGATGGATATGTGTGTGTGTTAGAGAGAGAGGGAGAGGGGGATAGAGAGTGAGGAAGACGGAGGGAGAGTGTGTGTCTGTGTGTGTGTGACGATTTGATGGTAAAAAAAGGTCGCCAATGTCGTAATATTGAACTCTTAAAGTTAATGTGGCCCCGTTGCAACGCACGGGCGTTCTTCTAGTACATCTATTAATGAGGTGTGTTTGCTATCTTAATTAGGCAAGTATGTAGTTGCCGTGTAAGCGATGGTACTATACTAAGTAATACAGGTATATGCATGTGTCATGTGTGATGCGTATGTCTTCACCAAATTGACATAAAGAATATGCATCCGGGACTCCCAGCAGTCCGGTTAGCGGGCTGCTGTACAGTGGGAAGACAAAGGGATCCGCCGCGGCCGGCCGTAGAGTATCCGTGTCGTGGGAGTGAAGCTGTATGTGCATATAGTTTTTGCTTTTTAGTTGAATCATTTTCACCCGATTTGTATTAAATCCGTCATATTTATATGTAATCCGGCCTTGTTTGCATGAATTTCATCATGTTTGTTGAAAAAGAGTTTGAAATATATGCGGCTACGGTTGAATGACGTTCTCCTGCATCTATGTCTGTGGATTGGTCTTCATTATCCGCGGACAGATTCGGGAGGAAATTTATGGGTTGCCGTTGGAGATGCGCTTAGGCAAGTATATAGTTGTCGTATCAGCGATGGTACTATACTAAGTAATACAGGTAGATGCATGTGTGTCATGTGTGATGTGCACGTCTTCACCGATTCACATAAAGTTAGCTAGAGAGAGGGGAGCTATATATAGAGCTTGCTATCTAGAGGTCTCGTTCGTCAACTCACACCAAAGACCATTTGTTCGGAGGTAGCCTAGGTAATAACATGATGAAGGGCATGGTGTGCCTGGTGGCCGTGGCACTGGTCCTCGCCGGCAGCGTCAGCATTGCGGCGGCGCAGGCGGCCGGGCTGAAGAAGGGCTTCTACAAGAAGAGCTGCCCGCAGGCGGAGGACATCGCGCAGAAGGTGGTGTGGAAGCACGTCGCCGGCAACCGCGAGCTCGCCGCCAAGTTCCTCCGCATGTTCTTCCACGACTGCTTCGTCAGGGTAGGCGCAGTAGTCAGTGCATGTCTATGTTTGTTTGGCAAGTTGATGCGACCAATTTAATTACACGTTGTTTTCTGGTGTATAGGGGTGCGATGCGTCGGTGCTTCTGGACTCGCCGACCAACACGGCGGAGAAGGACGCGCCGCCGAACCTGTCGCTGGCCGGGTTCGAGGTCATCGACGAGGTGAAGGCGGCGCTGGAGCGGGCGTGCCCGGGGGTGGTCTCGTGCGCCGACATCGTGGCGCTGGCGGCGCGGGACTCGGTGTCGTTCCAGTACGGGAAGAAGCTGTGGGAGGTGGAGACGGGGCGGCGGGACGGCACCGTGTCCAGCGACACGCAGGCGTTGAACGAGATCCCGGCGCCGTCCTCCACCTTCGACATTCTCCTCACCAACTTCTCCGGCAAGGGCCTCGGCCTCCAGGACCTCGTCGTCCTCTCAGGTGCGTACCACATCCACGTGGCATGGTCGTTAACGTACGTAGATGCAGAGTTCATGCGTGCATACAGTTATGCTGGAGAGGTACACGTACGTACGCACAACACTATTTTGCGATGACGACCATGCGTTGGCACATGCAGCTGCTGGCCATAAATGATCATGCATGCATTTGCTTGCTCGATCTACCTCTGTCTAGGTGAATAAGTCATTCATGTAGTGGTACGTATAATGAGGAAGTACTGTCCATCTCTTGATTTTTCTTTTGCTACTGCCCACCTCTTGTTGTTATTCACGAAAGTACGTATAGTGTTTTTTATAGAATAAGAATGTACGTATAGTGCTAAGCTTAGTGTTTATTACTGAAATTTTGCTATTGCGCCAAAAAGAGGACATGCCTCGTGACACATCATGTGCAGTTGCATGCAACACGACGACTAATTAATATCACCACAGTGTTTGAGAACGACTGCTTGCTAGCTCCGCTGGAAAGCGGACGAAGCCGTCGGTGGCCGATCCGTTTCTCCCGGAATTGATTCCTTTTTCTTTCTCCCATACCTCTCGTACGTACCATCGATGGTCAGTTGTGCTTGTGTTGCAGGCAGCGTAGCTCTACAATCAAATTCGATTGATTGATTGCAACTGCGAAACACGTCGGCTTGCCCCTCGCCATAAATCACGGATTCCTTAATGATGATAGGTGTGTGGTGCTAGCAATGCACGTCCCTATTTGTAGACCTATGTTGACAAGTAGTAGAGGTGTTACCGTTGCTAGACGAGGTCGTTGGAGCATCGTGAGTTTACGTTATGACGTGTAACTGTGGGAATGTCCAAAAGTAACCGTGCCAACGTGAGATTCTCACACTTCAAGTATAGAGTTTTAAAGCATCACGGTGTTGCTTGTGTGGCTGTGGAGTGCTTGTCCATGATAAGAAGCTTGTGGTGACTTGGTGGATTTTTATCAGCGGAAAGTCCATTAGTGTCATGTACATGCATGCTTATGATGGTGTATCCTACTTCGTGCTATCTAGGAGTAGTACTTCCTCCGTCACAGTTTAGAAGGCACAATTAAATTTGCGTGTGTTTTCATAATAGACAAGGTTTAGGGCGCATTGCATTTATTTCTAGTAGCTAATTAGTACTCCGTATAGTATTTCTATATGCATGCGTAGTGTGAATACTATTTTTTAGCTCATCCCACAACCAATAGATAACCACCTAGGTCATAGAGAATTTTCAAACGCGTCTTCTAAACCGTGACGGAGGGACTAAAAGAATCCTAACGGATAGGGTAGAAAAGTCACATTCAGACATGAAGTAAATGGAAATTAAGTGAATAATAGAATGATTACCAGAGCGGTTGCACCTACAAATCCACTAGAGATCAAACCCCTGATTTAACATCGTGTGCCTCATTAAATTAAATTTTCATTCAAAAAAAAATGTGCCTCATTAAATTGGATTTCTCTTTCGGTCATGGGCAAATCGCATCCCGCTTTCTCCCGCAGCTGCATGGAGTTGTTGGTCATTCGACGCCTTACCTCATGTGATTTTTCTTTCATGAAAAGTTGTCATCCTAAACATATTCGACTTGCTGCCGGTTTGCCTAACCTTCAGGAAGTTCTTGGTCTAGCCCGATCTTAGCGTGGATGATGTTCCACCGATAGTGGAATAATGCCAATGATGACTTCATTAATCTTGAACTCCACGACTCTAGTCTTGAAGTTCCGTGACTCTAGTCTTCTATGGACGACATGTGAGTGTGTACCTCTACCTTATCATCTTATGGTCGATATTTTTCTTTCAAAAATGGTAAAGTGAAGAAATCGAGCCAGAACTCTGCTTAGCTGGGCTGAAATGATTCCTGAAGGTGACAAGACCACAAAGTTCGTTAACAACAAAACCGGGCTACTGATCTGGGGACGATCCATATTGGGAGGGTTGCTCCAAAAAAAATTAGTTGGAGGTACTTTCCTGGTAGTTGGCACAGTTGAATCCAGTGAGGCCGTTTGGGAATGAACGGTCACGCGCAAAAGGTGGCGACCAGTGCAGCAGCGGAGAGAAAAACATGGCGTGGTAGAAAAGATCTACTACTGCATAGCTTAAATGTGTTTATATAATCCTTTTGATCTAAAGTTGTACTAAAGTTAGGTCAATAAATTTGGATCGAAGAGAGTAGTAGACTAAATATACTAATTCCCCTTTCGGAGTGCTTGTATTTTTATGCTGCATAATTTAACCCTTTTTTAACATGTGACCACTCTAGGCGGACACACCATCGGAATAGGCAACTGCAACCTCTTCAGCTCCAGGCTCTTCAACTTCACGGGCAAGAACAACCCCACCGACACCGACCCCTCCCTCAACCCACCCTACGCCAAGTTCCTCCAGGTACGTACTACTCCTACTAATCAGCACCTACCATCCTAAGTAAGTAATCATATCATCATTACATGACATTTTATGTGTGCGGGCTGCAGGGGCAGTGCAGGCGTAACCAGCAGGACCCGAACGACAACACGACGGTGGTGCCCATGGACCCCGCCAGCAGCACCTCCTTCGACAGCCACTACTTCGTCAACCTCAAGGCGCGGCAGGGGATGTTCACCTCCGACGCCACGCTGCTCACCAACGGCCGCGCCGCCGCGCTCGTCGACAAGCTGCAGGACAACGGCGTCTTCTTCGACCACTTCAAGAACTCCATCAAGCGCATGGGCCAGATCGGCGTCCTCACCGGCGCCAGCGGCCAGATCAGGAACAAGTGCAACGTCGTCAACTCCTAGATTGATTGACTGGAAGATGCATATCTGTGGACGTGGGTCGCTGGATTGCTGACCTCATATATTATCACGGTGCGGTGTATGTATATGGGCTGTAAACAAGTGTCTAGATGATACGGGAGCTGCGTGTAAAACTACCAAATAATTATCTTGTAACGAATTGAAAATGCAGAGAAATATTATAGGGTTTATGTACTCCACTAGATGCTATTGCTGGGGAATATGTTTAAATCAGTGAGCCTCCGGTCAATCAAATCTGCCAGGATCTCTCATGCACATGACATGAACTGAATGTCGATCATCGACAATTAGCTTGTTCGACTCGACCAATTCCTGTTCACGTACCTCCTTTTTCATCGTCCAGCGGCCGCCCGCTGGCTTGTACGCAGACAAAGGAGCATGTGCTGGTAACTCTACGCGTCGGAGATTCACTCCGTAACGAAGCACGGGCACTGTGCTAGTATACAAATGAAAAAGAAGAAAATGTGACAGCTGACACCCCCGCGGTTAAGTCCACAAGGCAGAGAAAAATAAACGGAAATAGCGGAAAGTCCTTTCTCAGCCCGAGCTCAAATGAGCTCGGATGAACAGTAAAATCAAAAAGTATTTTAAAAATGCTCAAAAAATTCTGAAATTTTTTTGTGGTAAACATTGACAAATATTCTAACTACTTGCAAAATTTCCTCTTCATATCACATTCGTACAAGGCGTGGCAAAAAAACAAAATCAGTGCTCTGACATGCTTTGAAAGTAGCATTTTCAGAGCATCGATTTTGTTTTTTTTGTCACGCCTTCTACGAATGTGATCTGAAGATGAAATTTTGCAAGCAGTTAGAACATTTGTCAAAATTTATCACAAAAAAATTCAGAATTTTTTGAACATTTGTAAAATGTCTTTTGATTTTACTGTTCACCCGAGCTCATTTGAGCTCGGGTGTAGATACTCCACGTCCCGGAAATAGCAATTACTTGATGTGAGAGAATTATGCAAAGACGAGACTGGCCGATTGATGCAACAAGCAGCACTACCGAGCAGATTTATGGAGGACAAACACTCACTCACACTCGAACAAGCAGTTGACTGTGTTTAGTTAATTAGTGTTCGTGCCCTGTAGGCGTACGTACATCAGGCTTTTACTAGGAAAATAACATGAAAATCACAGGAAAATTCAGCGAAGAATACGTCATGTTCTGTAAATACTCTGCCTACGGCACTCCAAGTCACAGAAACAGAGAAACTTGGATTGCACGTACCTGGAAAGCTGCAAGAATAACATAATCACAAATGAGAGCTCAACATAGACAGGTTTGCTGGTCATAGTAAATCACTGCACTTGGGCAGTTGTGCTTGGTTTGCACTTGTCATAGAACGTTCGGTGACAAGTAAATAAATAAAGGTTGCTTTTCTTTTTTTGCGGGTCAAATAAAGGTTGCTTGCAATGAAGGGAAATGGCTCTCGAATGACTTGGGCTGACATGACCCTTTCGTTTTGAGAATTCTGATGTTCTTATGTGAGGCTGTCAGTCAGGGTGAGCGTATGACCTTGACTGCTAGGTTGTAATCCAATTTTAACAGACTTTGAGGTTTCTTGCCTCTTCAAGTCTCAATCAGTCAACCGTTTTTTTGCCGGCTTGCACGTTACATGATTAAGTATACTATATACAGTATCATCTCTATGCAATGCAACTAACTCACGAATCGTTGCTTGGTCAAGGAAGCCAAACCTTACGACGAAATAGAGTATTTTTTTGCCAGCCAAAACTTAAGCTCTTTCTGTAAGTTTCTCCAGCACGGGCTGCATATCAGACATCCATCTCAGAGTGTCTGGTGTCAAGCGAAAATACACAGAATAGCAGCAGAAAATCAGCAAAGATGAACATCAGTAGTTTTACGTGAAAGACGCCCAAGTTGAGGGACAAATGTGCGAGAGAGATTTATTTACGAATATGGTTACACATAACACTCTTTTACATGCTCCTTGCCGCGGAAGAAGCTAGCCCAACACAACCGAAAGACTAAAAACCAATTTAACCAAAGAACATAGCAATATCGACCACATACACCTTTTTAAATTTAACATAAACCAACTTTATAGAGACCTATTCGAAAGAATTTCACCTATTAGGAACCATAACACACTTAACCTCTCGCATTTCTGTCTTAATCATTTGTTGGTCTTAGGCGAGGAACAGCCGCAGAGGAGCTCCCAGATGCTCTTCTTGACACCGTTACGCCCCATCTTCTTCCAGAGATCGCTGAAGGCTGCAAGCTGAAATGTTCCACCAAGATGACCCTGAAAATAAGAGGAGTAGATTGTATGAGAAATCATAGGCAGAAACC